TTTTAAATTCACGACGCGCGCATAGAGTGATCGAAGCGAAATGCTGGCCGAAATTATTCATGAAGCTCAAAACTTTTTTCACCATGAAACTCCTTAGTATGGCGAAATTAGTGTGTTTTTGTTATTAATCTGTCGTGGCCAATTGGCTATTTATTCAGCTGTAATTATGTCATAAAACTAAGAATTATACAAATTGTCGTTCTATTCTTAATGATTGAACAAAATGTACAGTCAATGACTGCTATAACACAATCGAAAATTTTAAACGTTTGTCACTTTAATTTCGCTTTAGCTTTGCTATTATTTTTGCTATTAGCAAAAACATTAAATCTTTTTCTCTATCATATTACATTATCATATTTTTTATATCACATCTGGCTCTTTCGCACCACCTTATTCTCTCTGTTTAATTGACGGTAGACCGCACCGGTAAATATGGAGGGTAGAATTTATATTTAATATAATTTATATTTAATATATAATAATATTATATTTAATATTTCTACCCTCCATACCGGTAAAGAGCACCTAATGGTGTTACGAGTAAACGCCATTGTACGTTATTGTGCATATTTTTTAAAATAAATTAATGAATACAAATAATGTAACATAATTGCGATAAAAATAAAGAAATATAGTTGCGACTGTAAGAAAAATATGTGACATTAATATATATTTTGTACAATATTCGAATGGAGTATTGAACATAACTATTTTACCGTGTTGAATGGCAATAAATTATACAACAAAGACTTGGATCTATAGGCTTAGAATGCCTCTTAGCTGCTAAGCTTCACAATCCTTACTTAATGTTTTCATGTCACAACCAACTTTACATTTAAATTATTCGTTCGAGTTAAGACAAATTATCAAAAATTAAATTAAACGTGGAAAAAAAAGATTATTATTCAATCGTTTACAAAATTTAACAATACTATTCTTGTTTTTATGCATAAAATGTTACTATAGGTAATTTAATTTCGATAAAACCTACATTAGAGTTATAGCACTATAACTAAATAACAATATGAATCTTGCTTTTGCTGTTTATACATTTTTGTAATTATTAAAGCCAATGCAATACAAACAGCATTAATTATCTGTACTTCCCGTTGATGTTTTACATGTATCTACGTCCCAATATGAGATTGCGTTTACCATCTACGGCTGCATCGCTAATTAGCATCGGGCGGGCTAACAGTCAAGTATTGTATTAGGCAGTCCCTAATTAAAAAAACACATTTTTGGAAATTTCACATAGCCACAGTTAATCCCGCTCTTAGTCTTAATTGCTATATCGAATGCAATTTAAAATTACTACAGCAATAAATTCAAATTTTGAAGGCCTAAGGAGGTAAACTAAAATTTGATAGTATTGAATATCGATAAAGTGCCGTTGAAACAAGCTTCGTCGTTGAGTCGAAATGTAAATTATGAGAATTGTATCTCCGTTTCACTATTACGGCTCTGTTATCTGTGAAGTCATCAAGATGACGTTCAATTGCAGACAATAGACACGCGCACATTTATAATTACGTACGTAGTATTGAGAGAGCAAAAACTTGACAATGATGTCACCAATTACTAGCAAAAGTCCCATATTTTTTCCACCTTGAGTTCACAATGATGTTACTTAATAAATGAGGAAGACTCACCAGTGCTACACATACAGAACAGTATGTTTTCTTATAACATTATTTGAGAGTTGTATATCCGAGCCAATTACAAAGTAACATAAAGTTATTGTAAATAAGTAAACCATTATAGGAACGGGAGAAACGCTTAAGAATAATAAAAAATTAAGAATAATACAAATCAATTAAGTTGTTCTAATATATCTTCATAGTAAATATCCTAGTCTCTTAGTGTCTTCAAAAGTACCTTTACGTCTTGATATATTATTTATACTGTTAGAGTACATATTCTTAAATTAGTAAAAGTTATAATGATGACTATTTAGAACTTGTACAATTTTAATCAACACGCTGTTCATTATTGTGAATCAACAATGAAAGAACTTTCAACAAGATGAACACTTTCGATGCACTTCGCAATAGTTGATGTATTCTACACACAAAGCACTTTGCTTCCTCCTTTTTAATCCGCATAGTTGAGGGCTAGATTCCTACGCCGGCGCCTTTGTTCCCCGACCCATATAACTATGGTGTCTTTAAGGCATGAATGAAAGGGGATTTCTTTTTCTAGGTTAGTGTGCTTAACATTCCAGACCTTACAGCCATTTGCACGAGAAGAGGATAGTGTCGCTAATATCTGCTAACAAGCGAAATAAATACGCGCAATAATTTTATTTATACACATTACGACCATATATTATATTATAATGCAACATACCTAATGTTACAGATATTACAGGAAGATGTAACTAAGAATATTAGTCATGCAAACAAAACACCAAAGAATATATGGAGTATTATCATATTTACTATATTTCAATTTAGTTTTTGTGGGTATATCGTAAGTTAAAATTCATGATAAAAGTTAAATATTCAAAGTTTATGTTTACCGCTATTAAGGAAAAATAGATAAGTAGAATTAAGTTAAGTTTTTTATATAATAAAACTCGTTAAAAACTTCTTATGATAATGACATCTATTGACAATTTGTTTAAATGACAAAAATCAAAGTTGAACGAAAAACTTTATTCTTCAAAATAAGATGCCATAAATCATCCATCGATAAATATTTATTTACACATATATTACCATTCATATAATTCATATTAATTGGAACGTCGAATACGTAGAAATCGCTTTTTGAAAAAATATCGTACTTTAATAATTTTTCTGTTAGCCCTATCGCTTTTGTTTTAGTTTTGCGACAATTAAAGGGCCTGTCTTAGGCAAAAGAAGAGAAGTCCACATTTTTCTTATTTTCAATACGTGATACGTATTTTTTCTTCTCCGCAAAGTAGGAAAACATCTCCGTCATGTGAGCATATCGTTCAATAAACATATTTTGCGATGACCTCAAACTTGTCTCCTACACGTACACATGTTTCCGAACTTCAACTTGGAAATTATCTGCTCGGGATACGGCGAGTACGCGTATTACATTTCAAACGGGTTCCTTCCGTGGGTGATCAAAGGAGATCCGGTGTACAATAACGTTTGTACAACTTGCTCCCAAGTTTGCTCTATTACTTACCTGTAAGCCACTTTGTCGTTTCGACGTATTCCCATCAAAGGTCAACTTAGATAAGCATGTAAGAGTATATCAAAGAAACTACTTCAATTCGACAATAGTAATACATTACGGTGATTTGTATATTTACTTCTAGTACGTAAATTCGTACTAGCATATTTACAACAGACGAGCTTTTATCCTTCATTGAAATGATAGACAAGCTTTTATTCTTGACTGAATCTGTCCTATCTGTATAATCCTGTACCCATTAGTAGTAGATCAGCCCCACCGTCGGGGGTACCGCCAAATAACACTACACACTCAGTTAGTGCATCAACAAACACCATAAGTTCGTCCTCGCCTTCGAGCACGGTGAAACCAGCACAACGCATACACTAGATACACCCGCGTTCCAGGGCGGTTCTCACCGCCCCCAGCCACTGACTAAAAAGAACAGCCAACGGCCATCAGGGTCACGGTCTGCACCGAACCTCGATGGCCCGTAGGCGACATGCCGTAATTAACGCACGCATGAGTACATAGGCGGCACTACTTACCCACTGAGGAGTATCTCAAACCCGTGGGTTCTGGCTAGCCCACCGGTTCTGCGTTCGATGAAGCTTTAATAGTCTAAGAACTGAAAGCATCACATCAGTTATACAAATACAAATACTAGTTGTGGTAGCTTACTCAGCTTCAATTATTAAAACTTAAGTGCGATTAACAATTATATAAAAATTTGGCTGATCAAGCCCAAAAGAAAAACATATGTTAAACCGACAACGCAGCGAGTGGGATAATAGTGTATTTTTTTTTAAATCACTAAGTTTACAAGTTAATTACAAGTTTCCACGCCAAAAGCAAGGCCTTACTGATGCGAAATATGTTTTTGAATGTTACCACGCCGCCGATTCAACCATTTCGCAACTGGCAGATACCCTCGATGTAAATCGGTGTAAGTTGTGTCCGTCGACCATGAACTCGACTTACTTACGCTTATTGACGACCTTACCTTAACTTATCGTATTATCTACTGAAAACGACATTTTATTGACAATAACAGAAAGCATACCGTCCAAGCCTATAAACATCTCAAAATCTAACAAAATTTACATTCATCTTGCAAATATAATTCAATAACTTACTGACATATACGCTTTTATTACCTTTCCACGGGTTAATTAGAAGACAAAGCAAATAGTTTTGTTGTTAATCCATAGAAACGGCATGTTATAAATTCAAACTCGGGCTTGGACCCGTCCGTTCTTATTTTACCCACGAATTATTCACACAAAATGGGTACGATGGTAATACGTCAATATTTAATTTAATTTATAATTTAAATACTATACACTCAGTTTTCCCTATCTGACGTTACTAAAAGATATCATAAAGGTTAAGCGCCCGTAACATGTCTATTTCATTTTCTCGTATCATAGCACTACAAAATGTACTATCAAAACATCGCGAGTTAGCTTAGAAGTGATTAATATTAAAACACAAAAATACTTAACCCCTATTATGTTACTTTGATTTTACTGCGAAAAGGAAGTACATAAAGTTATTTATTGGCAATGATGTTTTAATAAAGACTAGTGACTCGCCCCGGCTTTGCACGGGTGCAATGTATCATACATAATTATAAACCTTCCTCTTGAATGACTCCGTAGTTTTAAAGATCTAAGCATACATAGGGACAGACAGACAGCGGGACGACAAGGACTTTTTAGCAATTGCAATAATTTGAGTGCCTCAGTTTCGGTGCGCTAGTGTCATATCCACCTCGTATTTGTATGTAATAGCATTGTTTATTGGATCTTAATCGAGCAATTGTAAGATTCCAACATTTGTTCCAGTGTTTGACGCCACGGCTAAACCACCGTCGGGCATACTCAGCGGTAACGGCAACCAGTACGGCGACTTTGACGAATGTTTGGACATTGACGGCGCGGTGCGCGGCAAATACTGCTTGGCTTCGCTGCAAGTCACCGTCGAGGGCGACAGGAACCTCGAACACCTGGACAATTTGATACACAGCGGGCACTATTTGAAAAGCAACGTTACTGACGTGAGTAATATTAACACAGTATTAGTAAAAACACCAATATTTCGGTTTAAAGAATTTATTTGGTAGAACACTGACGTTCGCGTAATACAGTTAAAATACATTTTAAACGATATAGTTTTTTGGTAATTTATTATATAGTTAAGCTCCCTCATACTGTATATTTTTCTTTCCGTACATGATTCCGATCATAGGTCGTCCTTAGTTATCTCTCTTTCTAGTATAATAATGATGAGTTTTAGCTTTAAATGTGATTGTGTTTTGTTGGTATTTTTCTTATTAACACGTTCACTGCGGTTCACCCACAATCGGCCCGACGCTGTGTTAAATTAATGTGCGCCCGAACAAAACTGGTCTTTCTCGCTTGTGCGGAACAGGTTATAAGTACATTTTTACGAGTATGACAGAGACAAATATAGTTTTCGATTTGTGACTTAAAATGTAAAAATATAGGTAGTTTACTTACGTGTCGGGCCATTTTCGACCTCCGCCGCATAGGACTTAAAAAAAGTTATCTCAGTGCGGGAGCGGGCCCTATTTCGGTGGACGGCCGACGGCGACCTGTTGCCGCAATGTGCAGATGCGTACGCGTTGAGCCGTCAGTAGTGTTGTGCAGTCACGGGAGGAGGACGTGCTCGCGCTCGACAGTTTCGTAAAATAAACAAGAGGATACGAAATCCATAAATTTAAAACACAAACTCGAAAATATGCAAGGACCGGTATTACAAAATCATAACGCTGGAAACCATTTAACATTCACCTATTCTTTTGAAGACGACTTATCTCAGAATTCTATCGATATTAAACTAAGAAACGAGCAAAAAAAAGAAGAAAAAAAAAAGGAAATAGAAACAGAAAAAGAGAAAATGACCGGAAACGAAGAAGGAATAGAAAAGGAGCAAGAGTCAGACAGAGATGAAGAGCTTGAAAGGGACGAAGAGACCAATAGAGAGGAAGAAATCGAAAGGAATGAAGAGACCAATAGAGAGGAAGAGACCGATTGGATGGAAGAGGCTGAGAGGGAAGAAGGGACCGTGAGGGAGAAAGAGCCCGAGATGGAGGAAGAGACTGAAAGGGAGGAAGGGACCGAGAGGGAGGAAGACCCCGAGAGGGAGGAAGAGACCGAAAGGGCAGAAGAATTTGAGAGGGAAGATGAGGTCAGAGGGAAGAAGTAACTGACGAGGAAAATGAACAAGAATTATGTGATGAAGAAGAAGAGGCCGATTTTGAAAGTAACGATAGTGATGAATACTGGTCCCAGCGAAGTTGTCTCCGAGCTATCAGCAATAACTAACAACGACGAAAAAGATGCACAAGATGACGGTGAAGAGAGTGAATGGGAAGATATTACTGATTTTACTCTTAATTTAGAGGAATGCAGCTTACATGAGAGCACTATTAATTTTTCGTTAGAAAACACCACGCCTGATGGCATTTTTCTTTGTTTTTAACAGATAAACTGATTGAAAAAATGGTAACCGAGACCAATAAATATGCTTCAGAGTATAATAGTTAGTGCTTATTAGATTATTTTTTCACTACCCCATCACTACAAAAATTACACTTAGGTGCGGTATCGGGCCTTGTCGGACCTGACATTTTCGATTGCTAATTTCTCATTTTCTGTTTGGAGGATCCAGGGGCGGGGACAATGTTTAGACAAGTAATTCATGACAATTCGAAAACCATAAAAAATAAAATATTCTATATGGATTGGCTGAGATAATAGAGCTTTAATACCCCTCAGAGTTGTCGGGTCGAAAAGGCCCGCTACGCACAGTAAGAAAGTCAAGTGGGGGCTGTTTTGGACTGCCACCGCACCAGCTGAAAGTCACTGTTTTATATTACGAAGTTAACGTATTAATGTGCATGGTAGATATAAAGTTTGTTTAGGTTTAGCAGTTTAGTTTTACCATAAATTTCTATGGTCAGTGTTAAATGTTTGAAGTTAAATAGTATACTGATAGTTACCATACAAGTACATAATGAATAATCTAAATTATGTTGGATCAAATTTAGATGAAATTTTCTTTAATGATATACCATATTTACGCGTATTAGTGCATATTTAATGTAAGATTATTTTAATTCACAACAACGGTGAGCTAGTTTGAAGCTTATTCACTAGGCATCATAGGGTATACTTTGGATTGCAAGCTTTTAATTGAGTTTGCTGTCAGTGCTCATACCGCTTCACCAACTAAGCATAAAAACAAGAACCGAGTATTTCGAGCAAATCCTACAACGGCCTGTCAAAGACAGGCTCAAGGCAGCTTTTGACCCCTGAATTGCGTTTCGTGATTACACGCCTTTTTTTTCGTCCGCTAACTCATGAGTGTATAACTCATACCTGTACTAAATGACATAAATACCAAGAAGTAGGCCTAGCACAGGCGTTGAGCTAGTAACAGTGGCTGACCTTCGCGTTTGCGTTTTCGTCGTATTAATGTGAAAAAACTTAATGTAGGACATTTAAATGTTAAGATCGAATCTGTTAAATTCTCGAAGAAGATGACCGGCCTCTTGATTTTCCTTGAACTTAAACAGAATATGTTAAATACGGAAAAAAGCAACAACAAACATGGAAGCGATGAACAATTCAAATGGAATTATAATGAATAAAGTAGAAAATCATAGTGATCACTCCATTTAAGACTATCTTTCGATTTGAACACTTTTTTATAGCTGTCGTTAAGGACATTAATATTAGGCAGTGAACTGTGTAACTCCCTACTCATATAATTTCGTCGACAGCCGATAACGATCTTTCTTAACGACATTCTAATGTAAACCCTATTATTATTAATTATAGAGCTCAATCGTAGACTGTAATGGAAAAACCTATTTACTGATGCAATTCCAGCTTGTAAAATATATATTTTATAGGTCTCCTATTACCACAAAACTCATCAGCAAATAACAAGTTGCGAGAAAAGTATTCATTATTAAGTATCCTTGAAAGTTTTTTTTTTTATTTAGGTATGTAATTGGGTCCTATATTGTTGTGGTATCCTCTATTACGTTATAAATATATCGTTAAAACTAATCCTGCTCGCTTTTTCGGCTTGGATTTTGGGAAGTTTACTATTTGCTCCAGATATACAGTCACTTTTCTTGGTATAATTGGGACCCAATATACCAGACCACAGACCTAATATTCTCTAAACATCAATTAGATAATTAAATAGGTCTTTATTCGTATAGTTACAAAACTAAACCTTATCTTAACCTCAGTTCAATGAAACGATACGATTATTCTTAAATTGTTATATTACACTTTAAGGACCTAGTAGAAGTCATTTAACATCAGGAATGGTAATTCCCTCGTCATACACTGGTTACAGACGTGACACAGTGATTTATTCAGGGAATAAATGTAATGCAAAACCAGAAACTGATTTTGGTGCTCGTACTAGTATCTTAGTTTTCAAGTTATTAAGAATATGTAATACTCGTATCTACAGTTTTGTTCCTTTCTTTTCTTATTTCCTATGCTTTATTGACTTATATTTACTTTTAACTCCGCGAGAGCTTCGCACACGAAGTTTATAAAAGAAATTCTTTTAAAAAATTTTCATGCTCGAGACCCTCAAAGAACTCGCAGATTCTTACCCATAAAGCTATAGTGAAGACAGGCACCGATGCAAATACCAGTTTTTAATTTAAAATTAACAATGGCCATGTGCTACTTGCCCATAGTGCTTGCTAAACAGATGAAAGGTCTGTGAACAGTACACAATTAGATATTCACATAATTAAGGTAATTTGTTTGATGCAGAATGCACAATGAAGATTCTGTATGGGAACATGAATACATTTTTGCAAACATATACAAATTAAGAGCCTGAGCGTTTTTGTCATCCAGTTCTAATGATATTATTCATAAATACGAGGTAGATGACACCAGCGCACAGAAACTGAGGCACTCAAATTACGCCAATTGGTGTAATTACATTGATTCTATACCATCTGTCACGTTCACATAAATATGTCATCTAATGTAAAGCGGAACAATTTTCAAACGCTGCGCAGTACGGACATACGTCATCTTTATTAAAACATTATGGTCCAGTTGTGTTGTATTTATTGTTTACTAATATTTCAATTGGTTCAAATTTCCATGACAAAATAACAATTAAAAACCCTCACAAAGATGTCATTCGTATCAATTCATTATCTGATTTACTCAAATCAATACAAATCTTATAAATACATGCGACATTAGAAATGTAACATGGTATGTTATTTAATTCCAAATGTACGTCGCCTCCATATCTTTGATGTATAAAGTAACAACCTATACATGTCCCACTGCTGGGCAAAGGCCTCCTCTATATAGAGGGTATCAGGGCATAGTCCACCACGCGGCCCCACTGCGGATTGGCGGACTTCACATATCTTCGAAAAATATTTTTGTAAAATATGCAGGTTTCCTCACGATGTTTTCCTTCACCGCGGAGCACGTGATAAGACAGCACTTAAAGTTAAAAACTTCATTGGTGCCGGCACCGGGATCGAACTCAGGTTGCTCGAGTATTATGAATTAAAGGCGAGCGCCCGGACACTGAGCTATCACGACTCATATCTTTGATGTATGAAAACGATTAAATAAGGTCTGGGTACATAATGATTCTTGTTACGAGAATACTACTCACCGTAAAAACCACTAACTATCACATGCCAACCATATGCACCAGAGCATTCGAAACGTTGTGATTTAAATATTAATAATGTAGGAGTAAAAGAACAACTATATCTGTCAACTAAAGATGCTGGTAGAGACTACAAATCGCTTTACGCGATTCTCACACACTATTGAAGAGAATATCAAAGCATCACAATTTTATTCATAGCCAATAATTACTTTACTTACAGCTTTGTATCGAAAGGGATTTTCATGAAAAGTCGGTAATTCTAACCTAATACATATCTTGTATGGTATCCCATGCACCAGTATATAATAGAACAGTTTCGCGTTATTGCCAGTGCTAGCCATACCGGTTCGATTCCCACAGCGGCCACAATCTTTTCGTACTTTTTCTACAAATTTATAGGCTTTTGTGAAAAGTTGCCAAGCGAGCAGACGGTTCACCTGACGTTAAGTGAATACCGCCACCCATGGACATCTGCCACACCCGAGGGTTACAGATGCGTTGACAACCTTTTGAAAATTGGGCTCCGGCCACCTCACTCACCAGATGAAACGCGAAAGTATTATATTTCCACTTTACGCTGGTCTTCTGTGAGGTCGTGGTACTTACCCGGACGAGCCTGCGCATTAGTGCAATAGCCGAGGCTGCTGCGTGGTCCTACCACCGTAATACCTTATTCAATTATTAATAACAACACTCCACGATAAATGGCAGTGTTAGAAAATAATAATTTCATATATAATTGTACTTTCCATGAATATTGTAGGTTTTACCTTCGTCTTCATTTCTATCGTAAGTATGCACTGCAATGGAAGACTCCTTTTAGCAGTAGAATGTTTATAATAAAAACGGAACTTTTTAAAGATGTTCTATTAATTCATGGAAAAAAAATTATAAATGATTATCTCGTGTTTCATCATCATTCCATCTTGATTAATGGTTATCTTGTGTTTCTATGATCGAGACGTATTAAAACGCGACTTATTGACAACTTGCTATTTTGAATAAAGGGATTAGTCTCAGTGTTGTATTGCAAAATATTAGCACGGTACAAACACATTTCTTAAAGGCAATTTCATTAAGCAAGACTGGCGTAAAGCCAAACATTGTCCTCCAAAGATACCTGTAGAAAATTACTGCTTTTTAAAGGGGGCGTTTTCAGGTATTTTCTTCCATAAATCTACTAAACCGTTATAACAAATGTAATAAAAGCATTTGTTATACTTTGTTTCCCCTACAAAAATCTTCAACAATTGTCTTTGTTATAGTTTGGAATAATATCTGACTTAAAAACCACTCAAAACACAGTTTAAAATTTTTGTTTATAATTGCTAATTTATTTTATGACACTGAGAGACTCTGTAATGTCCTTTTTCAGTAGCAAATGCGTTACTTCTTAACGTCATACACCATATCTGTTTCAATTGTTATTTGATTTGATGACATTGTTCAAGGTATGATTCAAAAAACTATTTTATAATTCCGGACACAGAGGACGAATCAACGTTTGTATGCAAGAC